CTCTTTTCTGGACAGGATGCAATCTCTTATTTGAAATTGTATTTTATGATTCAGAAAGAATCTGCAAAAGCTTCTAGCTGTGCATGCCATTATTCAGAACTGCATTCTATATTTGGGATTAAAATTAGTTCTGGTAATTTCTTTTTGGATGCTGGGGAAAAAATAAACAGGTGGAAGGTGATTTTGCTTTTGCTTTGCATAATCCAGCATTTGCAGTTTTATTTCTGCAAGAGTTTATTAAGCTTTGTGCATGGTTGATCTACGGACAATCCCTCTGCAAATGATGATGTAAGATGCTCAAAGTTCAAGTCTACATTACAGCATTGTAATTAAATGAAGCAGTTTAATTTTAGAAAGAGGTACTCTATTACAGCAATTACACATATGTGCAGTGTATTAAATCTTTTAGAAAACAAATTACATTTAGAGGTCTTATAAATAGCAGTCATCATGGCTTTTAAAGAAGCCTTTGTGTTTCTGTTATCAAGCCCTAATTCACTATTTCAGATAAGAATGTAATTGCTTTCCAGGGTCTGTGTCCTCGTGTGATGCTTTCCTGAGTCTATTCCAGAACTACGGGCTTAAACCAGAGGCAATATGTCCTTGTGCTACATCTCCTGAAGCAATGACAGTGGCTATCCGGAGGTAAAATTGGATCTCGCTTTTCCAGGACATTTCCATTATCTGCTAAAGAGACACTATTAATTTACATTTCATGTACTATATCATTTCTTATCTGGCATTTCAGAAGCTAAAATTAGATTCATTTCTTGAACAGCTACTTCACTATTAAATAACTGATCTTCTCTTTGTATGACAAATCGTTATAACATCTTTATGATCGAAACATCCATACTGAACATTGAGTGGAGAGACAAAAATTCTGATGGAGAACAGAGTACAATGAATGAAAAATGTTTTTGTAATGAATGTATGAAATTGCAGAACTATAAAAACATCTATAATGTTTTCTGTTTTGCTATTTTTTATTTTACACTGGCTTATATCATGCAGAATATATCAAGGGTTTTTCTGGGGGAGTGGGGGGAGGTTTCCAGTTATCCATATCCTATGCAAATCAGTTGCATACTGTAATTTAAAGATTGTAATGGATATTTGTCAGCTTACATTTTGCTCATATAATTAATTTTCTCACAGTCTAGCAAGTGATTATAATTTTTGCTACCATTACCTGAAAGCAAACATTCAATAGAACTGTGTTTCCTAAATGAATTTATGCACAGGAGGATCCTTAGCCATTATTCTGTGGAATTTACTGTGTCAGTTCCTTTCCAAATACTTGGTTCTGATGGGGATTGTAAACACTCAGATGACAAGAAAAGCCTGGCTATCTGAAAATAATTTCAAAATGATGGAATCCAGCAGTGTCCTCCTGTCTATTACCTTATGGCGTAGGGATAAGAATAAATGAGATAAATTCAACTTTTTTCTTGTAGGAAAATCTCAGGCTCGAGGCAAGTGGATTCAATTACAAAATTGTGCCTTAAAATATGGAGCCATGTGCAGAATTAGTTCCTTTCTTTGCAGCTTTTGTAAATTAATGGGAGTTGGAAATTCAGCCCAGTGTATGGCGAAACACCCAGTGATTTACTCATAGGTTCTGATTCATCTTCGCACAACTTTATGGTCATAATGGCATCTGCCTTTCTTTTCAGACCTGGTGTTCCCGGGGCACCTTTGCCTGGAAGAGCTATCTTATCAATGAATGGTCTGAGTTATGGCGTCATTCGTGTAAATACAGAAGATAAGAATTCTGCTCTCACCATACAGGATGTTGGTCATGTTATGCCAGGTGGTAAGTGTCCTTGGAGTGGAAAGATAAGTTACACAGGCTCTCTGATTGCTTTCTTCAAGGTCCTGCTAAGATACAAGCTCCATTTGGATCCTCTTGCCCCCGAACTGTTTGCACTCCACAGTTTCCTTTTAAGAATTGCGATTGAATTTAAAAAATCGGCATTTAAGCTTGCCTTCTTTCGTTTTCCCTTCCCTTTCTTTTTGTGCTCGTGCATCTGTGTGCATAAGCTGCCTTTTGGAATATAATCTTTAGATTGTAGATTTGAGCGCTCCCTTCTTTCTATTAATACTATGCGTGCCGTTTTAAGAGCCTTTTTGGTTGAAGAGTAAAGGAAATGTGTGCTTAGATTAAATAAATAATAGGAGTAAAGCATCCATAATGCGAACCACATAGCTTACGTTGCTACTGCTGGAGCCCCAGCTGCTGGGTATAATCCTTTGCTGTTGCACTCTTGAGCCTCTGCATGCTGACAACAGATATCTTCATCTACTTGGATATTCAAGTCTTTTGAGGCTTATTTAATTCACTGAGTAAGAAAATGGGACATTGTGTTTGCCTAATCTTTCTTCTGCTTAGGGTTCACATTACCTTGCTTTTAGGGCCCTATTGGGTTTTCCCGCATGCTTGCAACTAATTCTCCATCTCCGCCCCTTCCTCCTATCCTGTGTGCAGAAGTCTGAAAATATGCAGAGTAAGTGAAATAGCTTTTGCACGAACAGAATTCTGGAAGCAGGCTTTTTCAGGCGGGGGAAAAATGTCCAAGTGCTTTGTTTGACTCAAATGTTTTAAACAGCAAATACAACTGTGGGCACTAACATTGATTTAAATATGCGGTTTGCTTTCTATATAATAGGCAACCATATTGTGACTGAATCCTTTGAACGCATTCAGCTCCCATTGTATTTCATTTCCTGTCTTCTTAAATATCTTCTGTATTTTCAGCTAAATTCCTGTTCTTGTGTCAGGTGAGGACTTTCATAATAGCATGTGATTTGTTCTAGGAATGATGTGTATCGTGAAGCCAGATGGCTCCCCTCAGCTTTGCAAGACAGATGAGATTGGGGAAATCTGTGTTAGCGCCAGAACAGGAGGGATGATGTATTACGGGCTGAGTGGAGTAACCAAGAACACGTTTGAGGTACAGTAATCGAATTGCATTTTCTGTTTTGACTTGGACTATTATCTGGTTTCATTCAGTTAGCCGTTTGGAACAGGTCTGTTGTATTGCTAATTTGCAGTGTTGATAGTGAATGTTGTTGAAAGTGAATGTTTTAGAGCCGCGGTGGTGCAGTGGTTAGAATGCAGTACTGCAGGCTACTTCTGCTGACTGCCTGCAATTTGGCAGTTCAAATCTCAGCAGGCTCAGGGTTGATTCAGCCTTCCATCCTTCTGAGGTCTGCAAAATGAGGATCCTGATTGTTGGGGAAAATAGGCTGATTCTGGAAACCGCTTAGATAGGGCTGTAAACCACTGTGAAGCGGTATATAAGTCTAAGTGCCATTGCTATTTTCTGAAGCTTTCTTTGAACTGAGATTTCAAGTGTGTTATCTGTGCTCTGAACAGCTAAATTATACCAGCTTAATTTTCACTATTTAAGCAATAACTGGGGAGGCAAAGGGCTTTCAGGTTTCATATTAAGCAATACCAGTGAGTCCACTGATTTGTTTATAGTTAAAGTTAAAAATATTTTTATGATACGACAGCACTATTAATACCGAACCAGAAGTACTACTTAAAATGAGCAAATTAATCATCCACCTGAATTGTGAGTTTTAAGTGTTGTTAATCACTTTGAAGCCAATTTAGAATGGGGATACTGCTGGTGTGTTAACATGCTGGAAGGAAGTTTATTGAGCATAATATATTTTTACATAAGAATCTTTGTGATGTATTATAAGTCTTACGTTTTTACATTGGATGTCTATCCTGTGAAACTAATTAATTGCACAGTTGGGTACCATCAAAATATTAAGCATTTCTTAACAGCAAGAAATTTCTCATTCTGGTTGTTAAGAAACAAAGAAGTACAATGGGAATAAATATAGGAGCTCCCTAATCTATGAACAACAGTTCCTTAGTCCTCTGTTTACCTTGCTAAAACATTCCTGCTGGCAAGCCATCCCTTGTTAATTTCTTCTGAAAATGAAGGTCTTGGATTTAGGCTTCTGTTCAGGATAATTGTAGATACCCAAGGAAAGACTTCTGCAAGCAAGAAGCTCACCTTGTCTGGAATCCTTTCCTGGTCTCCAGTTTTATTGCGCCTAACTGTGAAGTCTTTTTGTTAACTTGCTTGTTTTCAGGGTTTTTTAATTTAAGTTCTGGAAAATGTCAGTGCTGTGATTAAATTGATAAAGGTGCTGCAGTAAAAAGAACAGATTTTTCAGCTGTTTTGTCTTTTTCCAGGCAAAAATGCTTTGGCCGTTCGATCACCAACAATCTTTCTCTTCTTCCAGGTCTTCCCAGTGAATTCAGCTGGTTCTCCTGTGGGAGATGTGCCTTTTGTGCGATCTGGCTTGCTGGGGTTTGTTGGGCCTGTACGTTTCAATTGCCTATTATTATTATTATTATTATTGTGTGTCAACCTTTAGGTTGACACTGAGTTCTCTCTTATCCTCCACTTCTTTATAGCCCAGACATATATTTCACAGCCTTTGTCATCAACATATGCACAGTTATTCACTGCTTTGCACATCAATGGTCAGTGACATTTCACAAGTTGAGCCTATGAAGTTGGCATGCATAAACTGGAATGTGAATCCAAGTCTAACTATTGACTATACACATATTATTAAACGAGCAGAGTGGCTGATACATCGTATGCTTTGAATGTTTTTGGTGACACCTCTAAGATTCCCACCCCCCACCCCCGCTCTCAAATATATCATTTATAACTAGGAGTTTTGGTGCATCCTTATTCCTTCATTGTCTCTGCAGTAGCAATCACAACGAAGAAAAGTACTACCCGACCTCCCTTTCCACTGTATGCAGAATACAGAATATCACATTTTGACTTAATACACATTCTGTGCTTTTAAATTGGAATATCCTGGTACATGATTTAGCCCAATGCTGCAATTTCTGTTTTTTGTAGGGCAACTCATTACCACTCACCCATAAGCCTTTATAAACAGTCTTATGTTCTTTTGTCTGGATTTATTTTCTTCTATCTGTCATAAATAGTAAATGCTTTTTAATTTTTTTTTTAATGTAGATATTTCTAGGGTGTGGAAGCAGGGGGTGCAAGGGGGAATTTACATTCCAGCAAAGTTGGATGGTGGCTAAAATAAAAGACATTTTATAAAAGGCAAGGGAAGCATTTGACATTTGTGATAGGCATTTTTTCTTTTCTTTTCTTTTTTCTTTATAGGGCAGTCTGGTATTTGTGGTTGGAAAAATAGATGGGATGCTCATTGTTAGTGGACGCAGACATAATGCTGATGACATTGTGGCCACCGGATTGGCAGTTGAATCCCTAAAGACGGTTTACAGAGGAAGGTTAGTCTACATCTCTCTAAATAATACTATGATGACATTATTTTTTTGATAAGCGATTGTTGGAATCAGGCTGTTCCATTAGTAATGTTCTCCTATGAATCCAAAGCAGTCTCTTGGTCATCTAAATGGCAGATTCTTATCTTCTTCTGAGAGTAGGTTGGGTTTTCCTGAGGTAGCCCTTCTTAATGTCTCCCGGGCTTAATGTCTCCCATCCTGAAAAACAAGAAGCAAAGAAGAATCTGCCGTTTGCCACTCCAGCTTTCACCAAGAATGGTCCGCAGGTCAGGCAACCCAGCAAAAGACAGGGTGGTGGGACCATTTTTAAATCTCCATCTAGACTTGCAGGAGGATTAATAAGTGAAGAACTGCATCTTCCTTGTAAAACATTCTCTTTCTCCCCAAACATTTGATAGAAATCATGTTATTTTTTACCACCACCCTCAAACAAATGCAGCAGAAGAAGACCAGTCTTAAAGAGAACAAAAAGTCTCCAGCATCTCTCCACCAGTAATCAGTACCCAGATAAGCATAGATTAACTCCAAGGTTAACTTCAGACCAACAATCAAGTCAGCAATACCCCAATCAAGAAACTGCCAAAGAGCCATCAGTAAACAGCCCAACCAAAGAATCTCTGCCCCCACCCACCCAGACAGGCAAGCCACCAGAATATAAACTGACAGCAAACAGCACTCCTTACTAACATTGATGATGTTACGTAGTTTGGGTAATGAAATGACTGCAAGAAATCAAGGAAGCTCAGAGAGTACCAAGGACCCTCAGAAAAAGATTTGCCCTTTTCATATAGAATGAACATAGGCCAGGATTCAGCCCAGGGGTGGGTTTTACTTAACCTTTACTATTGGTTTGCAATGGGAGCGTGCACACGCGCTTCTGAGCATGTGCAGATCATCAATTATGACATCTGGGCAGGTGGGCGGAGCCTCCCACCGCTTTTACTACTGGTTCTAAAGAACCGGACAGAACGGGGAGCAACCCACCACTGATTCAGCCCCAGCATTGCTAAAGGCATGGCTGCTACCTATAACCTCCCCATTTTTTCCCCTTCGAATTGGCAGCTTTAATAATTTTAGTACAGATTACAGATTTCTTGATTTTTATTTCATTAAAATATCAGTCCAAAATATGTGGCAATTACTATTGCAGGCTGCCATCTGTTTGATTGAAACAAAAAAAAAAAAAAAAAAACACACCCAAAAAATATTGTGCCAAGGATTTGTACAGTAAAGGGTGTAGTGAGGACAACACCCTGCTCTCAATCATTTAAAAAAAAAATAATAAATACTGAAACTTCATAATGCCATCCCATTTCATGAGAATTCATGTTCTTACTCTAACATGCTTTAACATTTGGTAATCTCGTGCAGTTTTGATTTTTTGCATATCTCCCAGGCACTATTTGAGGGTAAAACTGGTGACACAACTCTGTAAGGCAACTGAGCACAGCCGTACAACCTTTCCTCTGTTTCTTTTTTTAAGGATTGCTGTGTTCTCTGTGACTGTGTTTTATGATGAAAGGATTGTGGTGGTAGCTGAACAACGGCCTGATGCTTCTGAAGAAGATAGTTTTCAGTGGATGAGTCGTGTACTGCAGGTCAGACTTGTGTTTTCTCTCTCACCATTGACCTGGACTTAGATCTTTTGCAGGCACGCAGGGACTTGTTCGTGACTTATGAAGCATTTGACTCCTTCCTCGAGCTCAGCCTGGTCATCTCCTACACTTACTTTTACTTTTATTATATTTATATACCACCCTTCTCCCGAAGGACTCAGGGCGGTGAACAGCCATGGTAAAAACAGTTACAAGACAAAAAATTTAAAAACTTATTAAAATAATTCAATCACTAGCCAAATTTAAAACACCCAGCTAAAATCGTTATTTAAAACCCCTATCAAAACCCCTATCAAAACCCAATTAAAATTCTTTATCCCGTCAGACCGGCTTGCTGGAATAATAGGGTCTTCAGAGCATGACGGAAGGCGCGGAGGTCGGGGATCCTTCGTATGTCCGGGGGCAATTCATTCCATAGGGCCGGGGCCCCCACAGAGAAGGCTCTCCCCCTGGGAGATTATTTGATTATTTGGGAGATCAATTGGTGGTTATGGCCATAAACTAGAAGTAAAGGCCAGTTTACAAAAAAACATTGTAAATCACGGTCATATGACCATGGAATGCTGAAAACTGCCATTAATGTGAACTGATTGCTGACTGCTCAAAATGCAGTTATCATGTGACCATTGGGGGGGTGTGAATGGCCATGAGAAGTTTGAATCTGGGTTGTAAGTACTTTTGGGGGGACTCCATCCTAACTTCAGGCAGTCACTAAGCAACTTGTCATAAATTGACAACTTGTAAAGGCTTGTTTTTTAACAACTTATTTTTCACTACTTGGAGAATTTGTCGACTCCTTTCTGGAGTTATCTAGGTAAAAAATACAAATATCTCTTCATAGTTCTAGAATATCAACCTTTGTTTTCTTGGTTCTTAGGCAATTGACAGCATTCACCAAGTTGGAGTATATTGCCTCGCTCTTGTTCCAGCAAATACTTTGCCAAAAACTCCTCTGGGAGGGATTCATATATCTCAAACCAAACAGCACTTCCTGGAAGGGTCATTGCATCCGTGTAACATTCTCATGTGCCCACACACGTGTGTAACCAATCTGCCTAAACCCAGGCAGAAACAACCAGGTAATTAGACAAAACTTCTCATAAATGGATTAAAAGTTCTTGGTATTGGTGAAAATGTTTCTTGTCATAATGGAAAAGGAGTGGGCCCCTATTTTTATATCCTGGATAAGTAGTTGGGGGCATATCTTCATGGGGGCAGGTCAGTGGACAGGCTCTGAAGTTGTGCATCAGAACATGACCCTATTATTTTCAAGCATTTTTTTCTGATGCAAAGCTCATTTGGAATTAAAAGTAAATATATGATTGAAGCAAGAAAAAAGTTTCATGACACTTACATTGTAATTTTTATTGATGTACCATGTTTTACCGAAAATAAGACCCTGTCTTATATTCTTTTGAACCCTGAAATAAGCGCTTGGCCTTATTGCCATGCGTTCAAAAGCCCAATTGGTCTTATTATCAGGGGATGTCTTATTTTTGGGGAAACAGGGTATAATATTGTTAATTGCCTTATTTTCCTAAGTGTTTATACCTTGGTATGTGCCAGCAGGTGTTGGTCCTGCCTCTGTGATGGTGGGGAACCTGGTTGCAGGGAAGCGTATTGCACAGGCCTCTGGGAGGGATCTGGGACAGATAGAAGAGAATGACCTGGTGAGAAAGGTGAGTTTCTCTGCCACATTCTCCAGACTTCCTCTTGGCCCTTTCGCGAATGAGGAAGGATGGTGGTTACTTTTTATGTTGGGAAATGCATCTTCTCAAAATTAGATAGCTGTGGATCAGAAGTTGTGGGAAGGAGCAGAAGCTAATGTTGGGTAAGACCAGAACCAATACAAGACTCTTAGCTTATGATCTGATTGTTTCCTTTCATTTCCCACAAAGAGCAAACGGCATAGTAACAGATTGCTCTAACCTGAGTCTGAACTGTCACTTCCCCAATTCTTTAAAATAAAGCCAAGAGTAGCTTACTTCTGAAATAAAAATGCTGTAATATTCCTGGCCATTGTTGCACACCTCATCATGTTTCTATGTGTGCTTTTCTCCTGCTCCTTAAATTCTAAGAATCATTGATGTCATTCTCTTACTCACAAAAGGACATCTGCTTCTTTGCTTAGGCAAATAGTCAAAATGGCTTAATGAATGTAAGGCAATATTGTACCACACATGTACTATCACTCAATGCGTGTGAAAGAGATCTGTATCATTGGATTGGATTGTGGCCCTGGACAAGTGCAGCCAAGTCTTGCTCTTAAACTCTTTTCCATTGCTATTTGTTGTTATACTGGACTGTTAAGGAGTAAGAGGCAAAGGCACAGTGTCTTAGGCATCCTGAGATGGGTTAAGTTGGGGGTTCCACTGATACTTGTCAGATAACTATTAAATATTGGTGTCAGGTGCTTCCACTAGCCTGTCTCTAGAATTTTTGCTCATGTGCCTGAGTGGGTTTTTCACATTGCTATACTTCTCCATTTGCATTTCATAGAGATCATCATTCAAACCACACCAACTCCCCAATTTAATCTTATGCTTTCGATAACATCTTGGTCCACTTTGGAATTATTTTTAATCAACAGTGAGCTAATACTACCCCATCAAACCTAAAACTGCCTCTAGAACAGGTATCAAACTGCGGCCCGCAAGCTGGATGCGTCACACGCAGGCCACACCCACTCCAGCTCCGCGAAGGGAAAAAAGGTCACGATAGGTCACGTGACGGCAACATGACCCCGTGAGTTTGACACCCGTGCTCTACAACTTACTTATTTTTTTTTCCTTTTTGCAGCATCAATTTCTGTCTGAGGTGCTTCAGTGGAGGGCACAGGCAACTCCCGAGCACATGCTTTTCCTCCTGCTCAATGCCAAGGTAGAGATAAAAGTTTTGCATTTTCCCAACATTTGTGTCTTTTGAACTCCTGTGTCTTCTCATCCTTTAGCCTTTAAAAACATTGCTGTTCTTCTGGGCATGAGATGGTTGTTTGTGGAGCTTGGTTGGTTGGTTTGGTTTCTCTTTGAGGGAATATATCTATTTAGAGATATGGAATTTCCTTTCTTTTTCTAACTCCTAAACTACCTAAAGTTCAATTCAACCAATTAATTGAGTGTGTTTTTTGTGCTTGTTTTTGTTTTCCACTTTTAGAGAATAGTTGTGCTGTGTCTTGCTAATTATTCTTGATTACATAATTTGGAGTCCCATTTGGATTTTAGTTGCGGTATATTTTTACATTGGTTGTCAGTTTACTGTTTTAATTACCGTGTTTTCCCGAAAATAAGACCCTGTCTTATTTTTTTTTTTGAACCCTGAAATAAGCACTTGGCCTTCTTTTTGGGGGAGGACTTATTATTTTGGGGCATGTGGAACAAGATGGAGCTTCTCTTGCCGTCTTACCTGAATTCCAGCTCTGCATTTAAATTTTTGGGGAGGGCTTATTTTTGGGGGAGAGACTTATTTTAGCGCATGCGCTCAAAAGCCCAATTGGGCTTATTATCAGGGGATGTCTTATTTTTGGGGAAATGGTAGTTTTTATGCATTGGTTATTTTACTTATTACGTTCTGTTTGTTGTGGATGTTTTTTCTTGTATGCTGATTAGAATCACATTGTGTTGGGCAGCTATATAAATATTAATAAGTGCTTCCTCCTGACTCATATAACAAACTAAATAAGATAAGATAAGAACCTTTATTATCACTTTTTTTCTGTGAACACACTGGCACACATTAAAAAATGAAATTCTGATGCCCACTTTCAGAAGAATATATCTATATACATACTCATACATGCACACACATATTACAACACACACACACATACATTAATCACAGTCCATTTTGAATATGTAGCAGAAAAAAGAGCTTTGAAGGTTAACAAGGTTGATTCTATATGGTACAAAGCTATTACAGAATCTAGTTGTTCTGCTTTGGATACCACAAAGCTTCCTTCTAGAAGGTAACAAAGAAAACCAGTCATGGAGAGAATTTGCAGTGTCCAAGACAATACTGCGGACCCTGATCAAGCATAATTTACATGCTATGTCCTGAATAGAAGGAAGTGAACTTCTAAGAACCTTTTCTGCCATCCTCACCATTCTCTGCACAGCCTTCCTGTGGAAGTACAATATATTTCCTTCCTGGGTAAGAAAATAATGGAAAGTTGTTAAAATACTAGAACAGTGATGGCGAACCTATGGCACGCATGCTGGAAGTAGCACGCAGAGCCATCTCCTGTTGCTCTTCTGGGTTCTGGTGCGCAGATGTGCGCTGGCCACTGGTCTTTGCACATGCATGCATGCCAGAAACTGGAAGCAGGGAACTGCTCTTCCAGTTTTTGGCGTTCCCCCGCATGCACGCTACAGAACTCCTCTTCCAGTTTGCAGTGCTCCCCCTGCGCGTGCATGCTCCTGTTTCGACACTCGGTGCCGAAAAGGTTTGCCAACACTGTACTAGAAGATACAGAGGAATATATTTCAAGGAAATGATGCAATACAATATAAGTTAAGAAATGTTTGCTGATATAAGGATATAAAAATAGCTTTAATGAACCATACCAGGAACAAAACTAACATAGATTCTACCCTCACACGGAAGGGTGATGATGATGATGTGCCATCAAGTCAGTGTCAACTCTTAGTAACCATGTAGCTACATTTTCTTCAGGATAGTCTGTCCCCAACCTGGTCCCTCAGGTTTTTCCAATGATGCACTAATTGCATATATATTGAGACCATCAAGCTTGCTGTTTATCTTCTTCTCTTTCCTTCCACCTTTTCCAGCATTATCGACTTCTCTAGAGAGCTAGTTCTTTACATAATGTGCCCAAAGTATGATAATTTAGGCCTTGTAGTTTGTACTTTGTGTGAGAACTCTGGATTCATATTTACTATATTTACTACTATAAAGCAGGGGTGAAATCTAAAATTTGTTACTACCGGTTCTGTGGGCGTGGCTTTGTGTGTGTGGGGGGGGGTAATGTGGGCGTGGCCCCCCTTTTTTTTTACTTTTACTTTTTACTTTTAAAACCATTTTTTCTATAACCTCTTCGGCTAAGAGCAGTGGTGGGATTCAAGTAATTTAATAACCGGTTCTCTGCCATAATGATTACTTCCAACAACCAGTTTGCCAAACTGCTCAGAAAGTTAATAACCGGTTCTCCCAAAGTGGTGCAAACTGGCTGAATCCCACCACTGGCTAAGAGGTTGTAAAAAAATGCTTTCAAAAGGCTCTGACGATCTAAGCTGAGTTTCCTGATCAGCAGAGGCTTTTTTAAAAAGCCTCTGCCGATCAGGGAACTCAGCTTGGATCGTCAGAGCATTTAAAAGGAAAAAAAGGGTTTTTTTCTTTTAAATGCTCTGCCGATCTGCCGATCAACTCAGCTGGGATCGTCAGAGCATTTAAAAGAAAAAAACCCTTTTTTTCTTTTAAATGCCTTTGAGGAGCCACGCGACCATCAGAGGCTTTTTTTTTTTTTTACATTTAAAAGCATTTTTTCGGCCGAAGTTGTAGAAAAAATGCTTTTAAAAGTAAAAAAAAAGCCTCTGATGATTGTGCGGCTCAGCTGGGCATGGGGGAGGCGGGGATTTTTGCTACCGGTTCTCCGAACCACCCGCCTCCATTGCTACCGGATCGGGCGATCCGGTCTGAACCAGGAGCATTTCACCCCTCCTATAAAGCCTTTGTTTGTTTTCTTGGTTATCCATGGTATTCTCAGGAGTGTTCTCCAACACCAAAGTTCGAAAGCATCAATGCTCATTCTATCCAGATTTTTCAACATCCAGCTTTCACTTTGACAGTGTCAGAGGGAAAATAATTGCCTGCACAATTCATGCAATATAAGAATATATTTTATACAAATTCTAAATATTAACAGAAGCTCTCCAATGGCTAAATGTTCAGATAATCTTACATAAAATGAGGACCTTGGAAAATAATAATAATAAAAAACACCGATCATTGTTCTCCTTTTTACCATTATTCTCACTTTATGACAAGAAGGCTTTTATTATTTAAGACACGAGATAGTGTAACTTAGACAAGAGAAGTTATAATAAAGTTAAGTAAATGTGATTGCTGTAACTTTTCAAATCGGATTTATTGGGTGAACTCAACTTTTTATTATGGTCCTGTTTTTAAAATCACTTTTAAACCTTCACAATGTTGCCGTCATTTTCATTCACATCCATCTAGCTTGGTGTGAGTTAGCATTACTTCCATTTGAAAATGGCATAAGGCTAAGAGACAGTAACTTTCTTCATGCAGATATTGGAGCAGGTGTTCATATCCATGTTGCAAGTCTAACATTTCCCCTTAAAACTCATGGGATTACTTTCATTTTAACTCTGATGTTATGCAGTACCCTCTTAACACGAGAATGACAGCATACCCTGCAAAGCCAAAGGCCCTAATGTTCCTTGAAAATCATATTTGCCTCTGATTACTCAAGAGAGCAGCTTGTCTTTGTTTCTGAAGCAATTTCTCCAAGCTCGGCAGACTTTCAGAGTTTGTTTGTTTTTATTCTCTGCAAGGGGGCCCCTGTCTGTACAGCAACTTGCCTACAGCTGCACAAGCGAGCGGAGCGAATTGCATCAATTCTGTATGAAAAGGGACACCTCAATGCTGGTGATAATGTGGTGCTGCTCTATCCTCCTGGTAAGGAAAACCATGGGGGTGGGGGGAGTTTACTTGGATTCCCTGCCATGTCTAAGCTGTAAACTTTCATGAGTCACTGAACTACGGGAAAATGTATTGCAGTTATTAGAAGAGAAGCATTTGATATGTCAAGTTGAAATTCAAGAACTGTAAAACAAATTAGAGCAGGAAAGTTGTTTAGATCCGGGGTCCCTCGTGTCGCGGCCCACTACCATGCCTTGAGCCATTTGGAACTGGGACATGCACATGCATCCCCACTCATGCAAGCAGCAGGCGAACGAGTGTGCACATGCTCCATTTGCGCAAGTGGCTTGAGTGCGTGCCCACCGCTCACACAAATGGAGCTGCACGTACACTTACCCGCTGCTCGCACAGAACCATCTTTTGGATTCA